GATTTTATGCAGTCGGTTTACCCCTGCAATTGAGAAAATCTAAAATATTGAGATTTTGGGCCCGATGGCGTCTAATAATATCAAAACAAAAGTAGTTTATCGTTTAATTGGCACGTTCCTTTTCTGAATTTCCGAATAATTTTTTGGGGAAGCAGTACCCGTTTGTAACTAACAAGGAAAGCATAACTGAAATGGCGGTGCCAAAAGCCATACATAGTATTAGGTGCAATACAAAACTGATCCCAAATTTGTCTTCCTATCTGTCAATTTTTTTTGTGAAAGAAATTACAAAAGTTTTTCTTCACCAGAAATAGTGCACAAACTAGCAGTAATTGCTCTCAGCTTCAAGTGTAGCGTAAAACAAATTATTATTCAGCTCCTGTGTCGCTACTTTGGCTCAAAGTTGAACTTTCGAGCATCCTATGGGCTGCGTACGTTGTTTTTGCTAGAGACAAACGACCAAAACTTTTCCAAAGAAAAGTTTAGCAGATACGGAAGATAGATTATCAATCAACGTCTCGTTCTCGTTGTTTGTTAGTGCATTGTTTTGCGAACCCTATCCAATCCCCGGTATCCTTTAAGAATTGTTCCTTTGTGCAATTGCAAATGAAAGCAGCGTAATTTGTGTTTAGTAGTGAGAAAATCCCCATCCAAGAAAACAACTGTTGCGTTTTCGAGAAAACCATTATTATAGTTAGGTAATGTATGTTTTATCTCTCACGTTTTAAGCGTTCAAAAAGTGCGAATTTTCAAAAGTGGAACAGATTTCCACAGTGGTTTCGTCTGGGAAACTAACGATGACTCAGATAAATGTTTGGCAAATAAAGAGAAGCGAGTCTATCACTATCTTTTGGATGTTCTCAGAAAGGTTAGTCCTTTGTTTACGTCCATTTTTTTTACAATAAAAGAAGAGATCTGCAGGCCTCTTCGATGGGTCTTCGCGATCTAATTATTCGGACCGACTCTGCAAGATTGGTATTATCTGCAGAAAATTGGCTTCCGATCTGGCATCGCAATGGCTGGCGAAATTCCCTGCACAAACCCATCGCAGAGGCAGAGTTGTGGAAGGAGATTTGGTATTTGAAGAAAAAGATTAAGGTGTGATGTGATTTTTATTTTTTACATGTACATGTTCTTTCCCTTCAGGTATTTTGGGAACTTATGGATCCACCTGATTACAACGATAAAGAGGCCGCCAAACGATTATTTGCAAAATGAAGAGCCATTAATTACTTAGAAGCGGTTTTCTTGACATAATTTTGAGCCCTGTTATCGAGTCCACGTAAGAAATGTCCTCAAAATATCGCAAGTCATCATGAAACGTTCAGAGTTTTCCTGTCCCATCCTAATATTAGCAACTTTTTTCAAAATAGAAAACAATTCAACAAAAACACAATAACTGACAAACAGCACATTGTAACAATACAACAGTCAACTACAAGTGTACAGCAACAAAAATCAACAAGGTTTAGAATCCTTCACAAATATTTTCGCCAAACTTGTTTTGAAGTAACCGTACGACGCGATCACATTGTTCCTCGACGTTGTGATTTTCATCTGAAAGCGGTATCTCCTAAGATTATATATATATA